ATGGACTGTGTCATTAGTCTATTCATTAGTCTATTCAAACCACTGTGAAAAAAAAGAAGAGAAGAAAGAAAGAAAGAAAGAGGAAGAAAGAAAGAAAAATGAACAGACTGTCAGAGGAGCATAGAGCAAGTTCTGACAGGAAGCATCAGGTGTAAATGAACTATAAAAACTGTAATTAGTAACTTTATTTTCACAAGATTGTGGTGATCTGGGCATTGGGAGGCACTTGGGAGGCAGAGGCAGGTGGATCTCTGTGAGTTCAAGGCCAGCCTGGTCTCCAGATCGAGTGCCATGATAGGCTCCAAAGCTACACAGAGAAAGATTGTGGTGAATTCACTTACCCTGACAGAAGGAAACGCTAATATTTACCTGTACTCTTTTTTTTTTTTTTTTTTTTTGGTTTTTCAAGACAGGCTGGCCTCAAACTCCCATAGATCTGCTTGCCTCTGCCTCTGAATGCTGAGATTAAAGGTATGCATCACTACCACCTGGCTTTTATCTGTATTTCTTAACATTAAAGAAAGTTATTGAATATATGAAACTGTTTCATCAACCATTTGTAGTGAAATGAGATTAAAAGATAAAGAACGAGCAATATGGTTATGAAAGTGCTTTATACACTTGTCCTGTTTGCAAATGTATCACTACTGTCTGAGGAGGAGTACATCTAGCCTCTAGGCAAGGCCTGTGACCTAACATACAGGTTTATTTACTTGAGATTCCCAGGGGTTTGAAAGACACTATTCCTATCACAGGGAGTAGCAGGCTTCTCTTGGCTATGGTAAACAATTCCTAGCACAATTTCTTATCAGCTTTAGAGCACATCACTCCTAAGATCACTGCACCCCTAAGAACCCACACTCCTCCTAAGAGCACGGTACTCCTAAGAGCACACACTCCTAAGAGCACACACTCGTAAGAGCATCACACTCCTAAGAGCACACACCCCTAAGAGCACCATATGACTTGGATGCACTGGGAATATAAACCTATCCTTACTTTAGGTAGAAGAGAAAATTTAAGGATACCAAGGGCTCTAGTATTTTTAAAGGCCCTAAAACATAGTTTTAAAACCTAAGCAAAAGCTAGGCTGCCATGTCCTACACAGCTCTGGGCTTAATCTGAATGGGTAATAAGGGAATGAAGAAAGGACAGCCACACCTATGCATGTACAGAAAAGGCTGGGTGGGGTGGTTGTACTTGCTCTGATGGAGGGTACCTACTGTGCAACAACCCAGAGGCAGCATAAAGAGGCAGGTTATCTAGTCTAGTTGAGGCATCTGCAGAGGAGCAGTCATCAGGGAGGAGGAAGCTACGGTGACTAGTTTTTTGTGCATACTGGCCCATCATCTATAAATACTTGTACTTGGACCAGAGGAAGACTTTCACAATTCCCTGAGCCTGGCCTAGGGAAGGTTTTGACAATACTTGTGGGTCTGAGGCATTGGGGCCTTTGACAAAACACTGCAGTCATGACTTCATCTGCTCTCCACACTAGGATTGTAGCTACTGAGTGAATCTAGCTATTCTAGCTTCTGAGGACCCCTAAAGCTGCTCAGATAGGTACTATAGGCAAACAGAGCTTTTTTGGAATTCTCTATCTCTCATAGGCTGAAGGAAGATGGAGCAGCAGGCTCAGCTGAATTCAGCCTGTCTCAAAGGGACTTCAGCATCACTGTCTCTCACCTGACAATAGATGGGTTGGTGAGACGGTCAGGAAGATTTGGGTTTTCAGTACAGCCCTACCACCAACTAAGAAAAGAATCATGGAATCACTCAACCACCTCAAACATCAAGTTTCTTATCCATTAAATGTGACTCAGTGAGAATGAATTTGAAAACCTCTAAAAGTTATGAGTGCAAAAGAAAGAAAAAAATGTTTCCATGCTGAGGGTCATAAACATTAGAAATTGCCCGGAAGACCAAGTCTGAGCATTATGCTGGGGAAATACAGATTTCACAAACTGTACGTCCTACTTTCAAAGGGGAAAGACAGGATCTGAACTGAACACCAAGGGACTTTAAAGAAACCAGTGAGATGAGTTAACACTGGCCTTGCACACACCAGACCAAACTGAAGCTTTAAGCCCATGAAAGATCAGGAAAAAGAAATTCTTGTGGGAGGCAGAGTCCTCAGAAGTAGTTTGCACAGATGGATGGACAACACAGCGCAATGGCTTCCTGGGCAGCAGCTCTAAGGACTGCAGCTGTCCTAACAATGGACTCTAGGAGCAGTTGAGATCGTTAACGTTATTGAGCAACGGAGCTCTGTGGGCTATGACACATGTGGGAGTCAGGCTGCTACTGATTACATCACCACTTCAGCCCGAAAACCCAGCTGCTCTGTCAAATACGTTAAAAATGGAAAGTGCACCACACTTGTTAGTAGCTTTCTCCCCAAGGACTTAAAGAAACTGTGAGGCCAACTTTTGTAATGGTGCCTATTATGCAATGGTATTATGCAATTAGAAATGTAGCCATGTAAATTTCTCTAATGGAAACCTTTGGAGAAATATAGATATCAAGCCCATGAGGACATCAAAGGCCTCGATGTCGGGGAAAGCCCCCACACAGGAAAATATGTGGGCCTGATTTATTCCATTCTGGAAGGGGGAGACATGAGTTTCCTGGGCTGGGATGAGAGACTGAAGATCTGAGAAGACAAGAGCAGTGAAACTGACAGGTCACCAGGTAGCCTGCCTTCACACATGGCATGCTTCAGCCTGAAGGGCACAGAGAAAACTTCTGAATTTTTAGGTGACAAATAAGGACCAGGAGACCTGCCTCCGACCTGCCTTCCTTCGATCATGCCCACTAAAGGAACTTAATACTTACTGCAAAACACACACAGTTTTGTTTTGTTTTCTAGAATATTGCCCATTGCATGGAGAAGTGTCCCAGAACCATGTTCTTCATTCTTTGTGAGAGATTACAATTCAATATTCCTTACAATAGTCCAGCCTCCACTATCCCCCGTGTCAAAATTCAGTTTAAAGTAATTGTTTATTTTCAAAATTCTTTTTTTATAACAAAGTGAATCTTTATATATGGTACTGCCACGTATTAATCTACTTAGTTCTTGTAGAATCTTGTAAAAAAAATTTCAACTTTTTTTATTTGAATTAGAAACAGGATTGTTTTACATGACAATCCCAGTTCCCTTCTCCTTCCCGTCCTCCCCTACCCCCCCAACTAAAACCCTACCTATCACATATCCTTTCTGCTCCCCCTGGATACAACACTCACCATCCACCATTTACTCAGGATCTTGTTTCTATGTCCAAGCATTAGGTCAAGAGGAACACAGATGGCAAGAGAGTGGGTTTTGGAGTCAGAACATTCTAGTTTCAAATCTTCATCCTACCTTTTACTGGCAGGAATGACTGAGTAACCTCGAACAATAATTTCTCTGATTCTCGATGTTCTTTCTTTTTTTAAAAACTAAATTGTAGCTATTGTGATTTCCTATATGTATGCATGATGTGTGTGTGGGTCCATGTACCCACAGTATGCACGAAGCATCAGAAGACAGTTATGTGGAGTCAGTTCTCAACTTCCACCTTTATGTGAGTTCTGGAATCAGGGTGCAAGGTTTGCACAGCAAGCACTTTGCCCCTCTGAGCCCTCTCATCAGCCTTGAGACTCAGTTTTTTGATTTACAAATGGGATCAGGTCACAGGTATGTGGTAAGGTATTTTTTCCTTTCTAAGTACCCAGGGATGGTTTAGATGCTACATAAATGTCTGCATAAAGACTAGACCAGTACAAGGCACTAAAAATGGAGGAGGTGTCACAGGTAACCTCTTTGAGAAGGTTCTCATCTTTATCAGCTGAATTGGAAGTCTGTTCCTTTTCAATCACTCAGCCAGTGTACTGCACTGAAGATGAGGGATCTGATGTATCCTTCTCAATCTATCCACTGAGAACACATGGTAATATTCCCTTGCTATTACTCTTATAGTGTCCCAGATACTGTTGAGGAGAAATCCAAAACTATTAAAGAAGGAAAAATAAGGTTTTTGAGATGGATCAGATGGGTAGAGGCATTTGCACACAGACCAGATGATTTGAGTTCAGATTCCTGGGTCATACAAGGTGATAGGAGAGAACTGGACAGCAAGAGTTCTCTGACTTCCACAAGTGAACACACACACACACACACACACACACACACACACACACACGAAAATATTCTAAAACAAAGAAAGTGCAACTAGAAACATATAAAAATAGCATCAACATTCTTAGATGCTAACCCTCCTGAGAATTTGTTTGACATCATACACTTTCTAAAAAGCATAATGAATATGAACATGTTTGAACAGACAGACAAACATGTTAAATTAAAATGCAAACAAATTTAAAAATACCTCAAACTCAAAAGTGTTTAAAGTGTCCTAGTCTTACTATTTCTCTGGCTAACTGTAGGAAGCAACCTATCTATCACCTTGTGTGCAATTAGCACATCAAGTAGATAAGAAGGTAAAACCATCCTGGAACAGGAAACCAATGTTCTTCCTGTCTAATCAACAAATCTCAAAGATTTATTCTGCTCATCTCTCTCCTCTTGCTCTTGTCCACCACAACAGGCTGCTTACAGGCTCAGAGTGACTTTGACAAAGAGCATTTTCACGAGTTACTTTTGTATCTCCACCCCCTTAAAGAAAAGAGGAAAATTTGCTTCATACAGAAGGCGTTCATTGTATGAATGAAAACTGCCACCGAAGTGTGGGCTAACTCAACCAAGAGGGATTTCACCTACATCCATTCAGTCAGTATATGGGGGCTTAAAGAAATTCCAGAGAGTCATCAGAAGAGGGAAAACAAAGGTAATGCTTTCTGCCACAGGTAGAGTCTTTGAAAATATGTGTAATATGTAAAACACGCTGACACCCCCGGATTATTTTTCCAGCATTAACAGTATAAATTGCCTCCTATGCTGGAGAGCTGCCTATCACCCTTGCTAATCACTACTCACAGTGGCCTCAAGTACTGCAGGCATGTACACCATGCAGCTTGCATCCTGTCTTGCACTGACGCTCGCACTCCTCGTCAACAGTGCGCCCACTTCAAGCTCTAAAAAGGAAACCCAGCAGCACCTCGAGCAGTTACTGCTGGACTTACAGGTGCTTCTGAAAGGGATCAATGTAAGTGCATGTCCTTCCTGTCTATAGGCACTGTCTTTAGTTTTCTTGCCAAAGGTTGTGTTCTAATAACAATGCATTGTGCTTTCTCAGAATAACAAGAATCCGAAACTCCCCATGATGCTCACGTTTAAATTTTACATGCCCAAGAAGGTAAGTGAGTTTCTATGTTCAATTGGTGCTTTGATGAATTCAAAGTAGCATGTATGTTTGCACAGTGATCAGATGAAAAGTGCCGAATCTGAAGAAAAAGCTTCTTCAATATCTGTGTGTAAAATTTCCTGTTTGATAATGACATTTCTTTTAAATGGCTTTGTCTAAATTTTTCTTATGTATTTGTGTGTCGGGAAAGGGGAAAGGAGAAGAAAACACAGGATAATTGCATTTTGATGCTGGAAAAATTTAAAGACTGTGGTGATTTCTGTTTTATGATCATCCTAGAGATATTTGAATAGATGCATTATTTTAGCTTGTGAAATGTCAAAGTTGACTTCAGAGGGTCTCATTTTATAAACATGCTACTGTTGTAAGGAAGATCCCTAAGACTCCATTTTTGAGGAACAGCATATCCAGTACTCACAGCCACTAGGGCAGATGATCTGAAGTGAAGTTCCAGCTCTGCTAGGCTTTAGCTCTCGTGGCCTCGGGAAGTTGCCTATGTTCATACTTACATAAATGACAATTGCATGTTTATAGCTTGGCAGGCTTCAGAGTAGAGTCTAGCCAGCAACACCTAAACATGCTATTGGTGCTAGTGAAGAAAACGTCTGAGACATAAAATACAATTTTGGATTTATATAGTCTTTTTTTTTAAACCAGGGGACCAGAGAGCTGTAGTATTTCTATATGACTATCTCCCAACATTGAAAGTTTGTTTGGTCTCTTCTGGATGGAGAATGTTGTATGATAAGCAACAGCGCACCCAAGCTCCTAGAGCTACATCAAGAGTAGAAGTTTGCTACAGTCCTGACAGTCAAAAGAGGATGAACAACTTTGGTGCTAGAAAGAGCTTGTCCCAGGATTAATCCAAAGCCTAGAACAACATGGGCTCTAAGGGGACAAAGAGGCAATGCTGTTGACCCACTTCTATAAAGTCAGGGAACTCTGCCTCAAGCTGTTCTATTGGAGAAGAAAAGGAAATGGCCTTAGGTGCTCTCCCAGCTTCATTAGAGTCATGTAATTTTTAACTCCAACACTAAAAACCTAGATAGTTCCGTGAGGGAGCATGCCACACTGAACATGCAGAACTCCTCATAACAAGCTGGAAAGTAATAGGTAGACAAATCCAGAAATGTATGCTGTTGGTCAGACCCCTTCCTCTAAGGATCACTAGATAGACATGAAATCATGTTAATTTAGAGAGTGGTGAAATCTGCAGAAATCTAAGTTTTTAAATAACTATTGAAAACAAGAGGAGTGGGATATAACCTGATTTTCTTTATTTAACCTCCATTCTGTATATACGTAAGATTTTAGAAATAATGGAAGCATTAATTTCAAAGAGTGTAGTGAATGAAAAGGAGTGGCCATGCCACTTTTGATCTACTTACTCACGTGGCTGTGGGGAAGACACAGGTTCTGAGACTTAGTAAAATGGAGATAGCCCAGTTCACCACTTGCTTCTGGAGGACCTGCTGACTTAAAGTGGCTAACTTTTATGGAAATCATAGTGTATTATAGTACTAGACAATATCCTTTCTCACTGTATATATGCATAATATGCATGGTATATATGTATCTACACATTCTTTCAGAAATGTACAGGAGACTTCTCCAAATAATATATCCAAATATTCTAACTTTTTATTTCATTGGGACAAATAGGGCTTTCAAATTATGTATTTTTTTATTTGTGTTTATGTGTGGGGAAGTGCACATATACACATGGAAGTCAGAGGACAAAATGTGAGAGTTGTGACACTCCTTCCACGATGTTGGTCACTGAGATTGAACTCAGGTCATCAAGTCTGATGCCAAGTGCCTTTCCCTTTAGAGCCATCTTTCTAGCCCTGACATATAAAACATCATCTTTAGTAATTGTAGAGAAGTAAAAATTTAAGAAACATTAAATGTGTCTTCCTGTATATCCTGACAATCATCATTCTGGGTCATGATAACCCAATCTGTAAGATTTGGGTCTGTGACAGCTGGCATCCAAGGGCTCCTGTTCCTTGATATTCCGTGATTCTCAACTCTGGGATTATTGGACATTAGAGTGCAGAATGTGAATCTCTCACTTCCACATTCTCTGTGTGACTTCACTGTAGACTGGAAAAGCAGTCTGTACCTGTCACATACATTGTGACAGGGAAATACAGACTTTTGACAAAGTCTAATGAAGCTAGAACAAAGGACTCACTAGAGTGACCTAACAACTAATGTTAACCACAGAGCTTTGAGCTCTTGCTCTTCTAGATTTAGCAAATCCACTACTCCAGTCCCTCTTTACACCAAGAACAGGGAGTAGGTAAAAGCTAAGTGCTGCCTCCTCTTGATTAGATAAACCAGATTACTTTCTGGGTCTTCAGTATACGGCAACCTAGCTGAGAGTTAGCTTATTACTACTCTAGGCCACAGAACTGAAACATCTCCAGTGCCTGGAAGAAGAACTTGGAGCCCTGCAGAGTGTGCTGGATTTGGCTCAAAGCAAAAGCTTTCAGTTGGAAGATACTGAGAATTTCATCAGCAATATCAGAGTAACAGTTGTGAAACTAAAGGTAAGATGTTGCTTTATTGGCTAAGCTGGAAATAAAATAAAGGGGATAAGAATTACATTCTAAAATAGCATGACATTTCTGGGTTTTGTCAGATCCCATGCATTTAATCAGACAAAACTTAAAGTCCGCTGACAGCGTGAATCCTTCCACTGCAGGGTCCCCCCCCCCCCCCCCCCCCCCCACATTCCAGGAGCACCCTGCTTCTTCTCACATTAGCATAGAATTGGAAATGAGAAGTACCTAGTAGAATTTCACAAGAAACAGGCAGATTTTGCTGCCCTCATATGTTTATCAGACCAGGACCAATGATCTGAAAGGCTTTTCCAGAGAGGCTGTGCTGTCATTGGTGGAAGAACACAGAGATTTGTTTCCCAAAATAGCAGCCATTAAGATGGGCAGAGGAGGACAGTGAGAGCTCATTTCAGGGCTTTATTTTTAAATGCGTAGGAAACATGGACTTTGGTGAGGCAAAGGAGAATCATAGTTCTCTTTTCTCCTTCCATCCGCCAAACAAAATTGTTGAGTTGACAGGTATCCTGAGCAAGCAGCATCATTTTGATTTCTGCAGTAGCAGCAAGCCTCCAAGACGGTGTCAGGCTAGTCCTTTCCAAACAAAATTTTCCATTCACTGCTTTCACCGGAGGCTTGTAACATAGGCCAGGATCCATGTCATCTAGGCGTTGAAAGGCTCAGATCCTTATCTATGCAAAGAAGTCTGCTCTGAAATCTCTGGCCCACAGTAAAAAGGTATGAATATTAGAAGTACATGAAAACTAGGAAAGCATGTTTCAGTCAAGAGCCGCATACTTAAAACACATCCAAGAGGTTTGAACATTTGAGTAGCTATGTAAAGAGGGTCCATAAGATCATGGCAGCTTATTTTTTTTATTAGTTCAAATTAGGAACAAGCTTGCTTCAGATGTTAATCCCTTCTTCCTTTCCCTCCCCTTCCCTCCACCATCCCACCTGCCCCTAGCCATCCCCCCTCCACTCCCCAGGCAGGGTAAGGCCCTCAAAAGGGGCTCCCCAAAGTCTACCACATCATCCTGGGCCAGGCCTAGGTCCTTCCCCATGTGTCCAGGTCAAGAGAGCATCCCTTCACATTGGATGGGCTCTCAAAATCCCTATGGCAGCTTATTTTAAAAAGAACATTTATTCAAAAGAAAAACTCTGCCTCATTTGACTTACAAGGGATTGCTCAGATTTGAAAAAGCCATCTCATAAATCTGTCAAAATATTTCCTTCTCAGCTTGTCATCTAGAAACAGAGCTAAAATACCTCCTTTGAGCAAAGGAGGTTGGCTTCCAGAAAGCCAATCTACACAACAAATTTGTAACATTTCTACTTATCCAAACTGGGAGAATCATCTGTATTGCTACCAGGGCAGGCCTCTCTATGAAATGTTCTCCAAATTCTCCCAACATACCTTTGTCCTAACCCACTTTGGGTTGTTCCTATTCTGACTTGGGGAAATACCAGACTAATAGAACCTTAAGGTTTAGAAAAGAACATATAATATGTATCATTTCTTTATTCAAACCTAAGTCAATACATAGTTGTGTGCACTTAACAGAGAAAAAGAGGTCAAACAACTGCATTCTCCAGAAGAATTCAATGTTTTCATTCAGATGCTCATTTGTACTCACTCAGGAAAAAATTTATCTCGTATGCTTTTATCATTTGGCATCATAAAAAACACAATCTGACAATTTTGATCATTTAAGAAGTGTGCATGATTATTTAACAAGTGTTAAAAATAAATGCCTACAGAACTTTAGTGAAGAATAACTATGTAAAGTATCTTAGCCTAAAACTTAATATTCTTTTTTAGGGCTCTGAAAACACATTCACGTGTGAATTCGATGATGAGACAGTAACTGTGGTGGAATTTCTGAGCAGATGGATCACCTTCTGTCAAAGCATCATTGCAACAATGACTCAATAATTATGTGCCTCTTATTTACAACACATAGGATTTCTATTTATTTAAATATTTAAAGTCATATTTATTTTGGATGTATTGTTTACTATCTTTTGTAACTATTAGTCTTCAGATGATAAATATGGATCTTAAAAGATTCTTTTGTAAGCCCCAAGGGCTCGAAATGTTTTATTTATCTGAAATTATTTATTATACTGAATTGTTAAATATCATGTCTATCTAGATTCATTAATAAAAATATTTAGAAGAGTTGGTGAATATAAATAAGCTCAGATGTCTGTTATTTTTAGGACAGCACAAAGTAAGCTTTAGAATATTTCTCAGTTATTCTTGTGAACTCTATGATGGTCAATGAGCTTACAAGAATCACTCTTCCCTGGAGAAGGATGTAAAATGAGACAAGAACTTTTCAATGTCCTTGCACCCTCCTTTTGAGCATTGATTGGATCTTTAGTTCTGGCAAGAGAAAAGTTTATAAGGCTATAGTATTTTCCTTTCCTTTAAATTTAAACAGGATACTAAACAAAAATCTTGACACTTTTTGTCATAATCTGTGTTGTAAGAAAGCAAAAACAGTCTTGATACTTTATATAGAGACACTGAGTTCACAGTTTTGGATGTTCAAGAACATGTGACAAACTCATGGCAATATGGCATTGCAATTGTGGGAGTATGTGAAGAACACAGACTGTGTGTGTATGTGTGTGTGTGTGTGTGTGTGTGTGAGAGAGAGAGAGAGAGAGAGAGAGAGAGAGAGAGAGAGAGAGAGAGAGACTTATAACAACCCAATCTTGCAGGAAATAGTCCAGTCCCACATAAACTGACCCTGACCCATTTCCCTGAAGCAACATTTATTCATTCGTGAGGTAAGCCCTAGGCCTAACCTTGCACCAATCCTACCATTACCTGCCACATCCACACCACCATACTGGGAACCAACTTTCCATCACATGAACCTCTGAGGACAAATCAGCACATCTTACAGACTAATATGCCCTCTATAGTTTAACACTGCTCTCTGCCTTTAAGATCCTCACCTGGAGAAACCAAAAGTCCTCTCCTCTTCTCTGGTGTTTCACTGGGTCCTGATAATAGTGAGTATTGGTGGAAGGTCTAAGATTCAGAGGAAGTTCCTCCTCCCTTTGGCTGTGTCTCTTGGCCAAAGAGCCCACCTTCTCTTAAGGCGGTTTTATGGGTATATTTTTTTCCTGGATCTCAGCTTCCCTTCCCCATTTCCTTTAAAGCTGCAGGTACTCTTTAGTTGTTGCTAGCTCTAGGGTACCTGTGCTGACCTTTACAGAGTCCTTGTATCTTGACCAAAGAGTCGCCCGTTTATCAAATCCCACTTCTCCTTGGGAAGGCCATCTGTTTTCTGCTAAGACTGCAATGTACTAATTGTATCAGAAATAGCACCAGGAAATACACCCCAAATAGGACTCTCAAACTGTACTGCTCACATATTGAAGGAACAGGGTAATAGTACCACATGGTATGTCCTAAATCCATGCTACGCCAATGGTAGCACACGATAAAATAAAGCTAAAAGACAAGCACTACATAGTATGTTCTGATTCATGGTGTGCCAATGCCATTTATATAACTAGTTATATAATCTGGTGTTTACTTAAAAATACTTTAAGTAGAGGAATGAACACTTGAATAGGAAGCAGCATATGCTACACAAATACTAACCCTGAACAACAACAGAAACAGAACAAAAACTATAGGTAGCTAGAGCAGAATTTAAAGTAAGAATAGCAGAGATAAAGGCATGATTTTTTAAAATATTTAAAATTTATTTTTAACATTCCAATTCCAGTTCCCCCTTCATTCTCTCCTCCCACTCTTCCATCCTTCCCCCATCTAACCTCCCATCCACTCTTCAGAAAAGGTAAGGCCTGCTCTAGGCTGTCAACTAAGTCTGTCCCATCATCTAGTTGAGGCAGGGCCAATGCCCTCCCCCACCATGTCTGGGCTGAGCAAGGTGTCTCTCCATAGAAAATTGGCTCCACAAAGTCAGTTTATGAGTTATAGTTAGATCTTGGTCCCACCGCCAGCGGCCTCATATACTGCCTAAGCTTCACCATTGTCACCTGTATTCTGCAGTCCTAGTTCAGTCCTGTGCTGGTTCCCTAGTTGAAAGTGCAGAGTCAGTGATCTCTCACTAGCTCCGGCCAGCTGATTCTGTGGGTTTCCCCATCATGGTTTTGACTCCTTTGTTCATATTCTCTCTCCTCCCTCACTTCCATTGTACTCCAGGAGCTTGGCCCATTGGTTAGTTGTGGATTTCTGTATCTGCTTCCATCTGTATCTGGAAGAGGGTTCTAGATTCTCTGGGGTTGTGGATTGTAGGCTGGATGTCTTTTTTTTATGTCTGGTATCCACTTATGGGTGAGTACATATGATATTTGTATTTCTGGATCTGTGTTACCTCACTTGGGATTTTTTCTAGTTCTGTTCATTTTCCTGCAAATTTAAAGATGTCATTGTTTCTTATCACATAAATGTACCATATTTTCTTTACCCATTCTTCAGTTGAGGAGCATCTAGGTTGTTTCCAAGTTCTGGTTATTATGAATAATGCTGCTATGACTATGTTCTTGTGGTGAGAGTGTGCCTCCTTTGGGTATAAGGGCATGATTTTATAATGATCAGATAGTTCATTCAACAAAACATATGCCAGTTCTAAATGTGATCCTTCTAATTGTAGCACAACTTCCAAGGGCACAGACAAAAGCATCTGCATCCAGCTTTAATAGAGCATGGTATCAGAGCAGCCCGCTGTGACTAGCCATGAAAAGGGGACTCTGAACTGCAGGCACTAAGGCAGTGGCCATAGCTGAGCTCCCACAAAAGCACTGCAATTTTGCTTACTTAAGAAACAGAGATTAAGAGTTCAGGCTTACTAAAGCAATCTTGAAGATTGTCTGAACAACAGTAATAGAAAAAGAGGCAACTGAGAGTAGCTACAGAAATATGAAAAAAATATCTAATTTTTGTTTTCTGGGCAATAAACTTATTTTTAGGTACTAGAATCTACAACTCTAAACCAAGAATAATAGTCAGGGAAAGAAAGTACATGGAAACACCATAGCTTCAAAACTAATGATGTTCAGACAAGACTGGAAGGAATCCAGGTTCAATAAACCAGGCTAGAAAAAGCCTTAGACCCCCCCAAGGTGTGTGCTACAAACCAACAAGGCTGTGCCTTAGAAGTTGAAAGCCATGCGGCTTCCCTCCCAAGCCTGTAGAAATAGTAGTTTAACCTATGAGCATAGAACACTCCAGGTCTGCTCCAAAGCTTTAAAAGCCAGCAAGATAGCTCAGCAGTGAAGGCACTTGCTACCAAGCAGGCTGGAAGGAGAGAACTGCTTACCTTCCTCAAGTTGTCCTGTGTTCTCTATAAGGGTACCATGCACAGCAAGACTGTGTCACTGTGTAGTTCAGCCTGGCTTTATACTCATGTTCCTTTTGCTTCTTGCTCTTGAGGGCTGGGTTACAAGTACATATCACCATGCTGGTTCTAGCACCATTTTTACTCAATGGTCTAACATGGTTTTAAACAAGTGTGGTGAATGTGGGAAAACAGTTGAAATGAATATGCTAAATTATTACTCACAGATGTGTAAAGGATATATATGGAATGAGAAATACTAGGATTAATGGCTGGTTTAATTGGATTACTAATAATATGGTTAATATACACATGTGCTCAATTGTATGTTTATATGTCAGCATCACAAGGAATGTATTTAAAAACAATACTATGTACAATAGAACCCCAAAGATCAGACATCTGGGAATAACTGTAATAAATAGATGCCTGTTAAAATAAGAAAATATTAAGCAACATTAATAGGTAAATAAATTGAGTGATCTATTAGATTACTGAATTATAAGGTTTGATAACTTAAGATGTTAATTCTCCATAAGTCTATAGGATTAATAAAGTTACACTAAATATTCAGTCAGTTTTAAATGGATGTATATGACAAAGGAAAAGAAGGGCTGAGGTGTTGGTATTGGATGTGTTAACAGTTTTAATGCTTAGGTCTTTTGACTACAATCCTATAGAGAAAGCTATGCCAGTTGAAGCAAGGCTACCAATATATAGACAAGATAATGTAAATGGAAGGGATTTGCTTTTCTTTTTAGTAGATTACATATTTGCGGATGTCCTGTTCATCATGTAGGATGTGAATAATGGATCCTGAGCCTATAAAAAGCATAGCTTTTATGAACACATGTGCAAATGTGAAGGAAATCTAGATAGGGTTGATTTACACCTAAAGTTACTATAATAAGGCCTAGTTGGCTGGATGTAGAAAATGCTACAATTTTTCAAATGTCATTTTTAGTGAGTGCACAGATGGCTGTGAACAGTGTTACTAATGAGCCAAAGTATAATGTGTCAGAATAGTACTATTATTTGAAGTAAGTGGGTAAAATCAGATTATTAAGATTCCTGCAACAACTACAGTACTTGAGTGAAGGAGTTAATAATAAAATTAGGAGGATAATGTGGAGGGTTCTAATGTAGATTCTCATGTATATGGGTAGCATCCTGTTAATATGATTAGTAGGTTTGCCTCATTGAGCTATAATAATTATGTATCAAGTGCCTCCGAGTTCTAGCCTTGGGGTTCTCTCAGGGTACAGGATGGAAGCTAAATAGCAAACAGGTAGGGCTGACTAAAAGTATCTGAGGGCAAATTAATTAGTTCATACTGGAGTCATTCTCATAGTGTCTCTTTATTTTTCAAAAGTTCTCCCTGATCCCGTAAGGTTTCCAGTTTATATACCCATACCGATACAATTGGAAACTCTGTGACAATAGCAAGGATACCAGGCATACATATCTCAGGGCCAGGAAGGCAGATAAGATCTTTCAAAAGCAGGTACCTCATGTCTCAGAAGATATGTGACTTGTAAAATGTTCAGGCAAACTTAAGAGGCAGTAAGGATTAAGGGAGTTAGTATGTAAAACTATATTTGTGTGGTTA